AACAACATATTAGATATATTTTAATCTTCACCGCTCTGATAGGGACAAGAGAAAATTTAAAAGCAGTTTTGTTATGCATTTCCCTGGCAAAGGGTATTGAAATTTTTATGTTTCTTACTCATTTGTTTTCTGTTTATTTGTTTGTTTGGTTTTTTTTTGATGATCCAAGTCTCATCTTTTGAGAATTCAGTTTAGCTTCATGCCCAATTTTAATTGAGTTGTTTGTATTCTTGGTGCTTAGGCTTTTTGTTTCCAGCTCTTTGCATTCTAATTACTAGCCCTCTTTTGTTGTACAGCTGGTAGAGATATTTTTTGTTCATACTTTACTACTTTACAAGCTGCTTCTTGACTCAAATGATGGTGTCCTTTGCTGTACAAAACCATCCTAGTTTCATGTGGTTCTATTCATTAATTGTTGGTCTTAATGTCAGTGCTACTGAAGTCCTATTAAGAAAGTGCTTTTCTATGCCTAAAAGTTCAAGTGTTCTCTCTACTTTCTCCATTATCAGATTAAGAGTATCTATCAAGTCATATGTAAAGGTTCTTGATCCATTGGGCATTAAGTTTAATGCAGGATGAAGGATAAACATCTAGTTTCATTCTGCTACACATAACTATCCAATATGATTAATGCCTTTTGTTGAAGATGTCGTCTTTTATACAATGAGTATTTTGCTCTCTTTGCCAAAAATTATATTTGCATTGTTGTACCAATTTCCACCAAGATCCATGATTTTATTTTGGTGATCAGCATGTCTGCTTTTCTGACAGTACCATGTCATTTTATTGTATAGCTCTATAGTATAACTTACAATGGGGGGAGCAGATAATACCTCCAACATTTATCTCTTTGCTTGGGATTTTTTAGCTATCCAAAGTGCTTTATTTTTCCATATGAAATTTAAGATTACTTTTTTCAGTTCTGTGAAAAACTGCATTTAGATGGGGATTGTGCTGATGCTATAATTTGTTTTTGTTAGGATGGCCATATGAACAGAATTAATTCTACCTATCCATGAACATGGAATGTTCAATTGTGGCTGTGCAGGAGGGGGAACACATTTTTCACTGATGGTATAAATGCAGATTACTATGTGGGTGTTTCCATAAAAGCTAGAAATAGACCTACCAAACAGTCCAGCTGTACCACTATTTAGAGTGTACCTAAAGGAATCTACATCTAGATTGTTGCACTTACATATCTATTACTTTTTTATTTATAGATGCCAAAAATTATACACCACAGATGTTCATGAACTGATTAATTAAAATGTGATACATTTACAAATGGAATATTACTCAATTCTGAAAAATGAAATTATGGGTTGGAGAGATAGCTTAATAGCTGAAAGCATTTTCTGTTCTTGAACATGACCCAGGTTCAGTCCCTTGCATCACCTGAAGAATCACAGGCATCTATAACACCAGTTCTGGGGGATCTGATGCCTTCGTCTGACCTCTGTGGCTATGAACCTAGCATATATGCATGTAGACAAATTCCTCATGCCATAAAACAAATGAATCTGAATCAAGAGTAGTTGTTCCATGCATGTTGGACTCATTGGATTTTCAAACAAGGAAGAAGAAAACTGTAAGTTAGGTGAGTAGGGAATTGAGGGCAGGTGAATGGATTAGGGAGGAATTACAAATTGGTGTGCAAATATGGTCAAACTATATTGCATGAAAAACTCAACGAATGAATAAAAACATTGTTTTACAAACTTATTATTTACTGTCCCTAAACTTTATATAGCATTAAAGCAACTACTCTGAAGTTAAAGATATCTAAAAGTAAGTTTATAAAACCAGTGCATTTAATAACTCCCCATGAACAAACGTTTTGCTAAGGAGGAAATGGATGCTATAGTGCTCTAAAACTCTTTTCCTTCTTAGTAGTCTTAATATTCCCAGTGTGTAAATGAGATTTGAAAGCAATCTTGACAAAAATCAATGGCTACATATGCAGATTAGCACACCTTTTAAGCATAACTGCAACTCTTACCCAAGCAAATAACAAAGGTGACCCAATCATTCAGGAAGCTCACAGCAAAGAGGTCCCAGACATCTGGATGAAACGGCAGACTAATTGGAACTAATCAAACTTCTGTCAAGACTTATTTTACAGTGACTTCTGTTTAACATACATACCTTGATTCTTCTTTGAAAGTGCTAGTGTTGTATTAGAGCCCTGCTTAAGAAGACCATGCACATTACTTTGAAAGGCTGTTTGCTTAGTCAGAATTGCATTTCCCTGACCTCACAGTGGTTCCTCTATTCCACACAGCGGACTCTGCCCTCTATGTTCACAGAGAGTGTGAAATGGAAAAAATATAATGGCCATGCAAGCACGGGGGTCTTGCTGTGAAAATTCTGGTTCTCTTCACAGTATCCAACAGCACAAATTGGTTTTCTGGCAGACTACTCTTGAAAGTAGACATTAAAACACTTGTGGGTGTTTTTTGGTAAGGTTGCATTTATCCCCATGTGTTTTTGTTCTTTTTGGCAAGTTTTGTCAGTTTTGTTCTGGTGGATGATACATTGTTCAAGAATTCAAGAATAGTTCTAGCTGACATTAGTTCATAAAGTTAGTGAAAATGTAAGCCTGCTAGCTGAGTATGATAATATGCTCCTGCAAGTCCAACATTCAGAAGGCTGAGGCGGAATTGCAAATTTGAGGCCAGCTTTACCCTTTATAGGGAGACCAAGTATCAAAAAAATATATTAAGTGCTTGGAATCACAATTTTATTTACAAATCATAAAAGTGTATTGAACACAGTTGATGGTACTAACTCTTGTACATTTTTTTATCCTGTAAGTACTTTAGCTCAGTTAAAACACACTGTTCCATAGGGCTTAGTTCAAAACAATGTACTTGTACATGCTACACTGTGAATGAGCCTTGAAAACATTATACTACATAAAAGAAACCAGTTATAAAATACAACCGAGTTATTCATTTAACTGGATGAAGTATATGGTGTGTGAATTATATCTCAGTAAAACTATTACATTAAAACATGAACACACTAACCTACACTAAGGCATTAAGAAAAGTTTCAAAATCCATTAATCCAAATCATTAATTCCATATTCTAACACTTTAAGAATTTTAAAATTATTTAAAACTCTTTTAAAAGACATATTTTCTTTTTATTTAAAACATAATTATATCATTCCCTCTTTCCTTTCCTTCCAAACTCTCCACTGTCCCTCCCTTCAGCTTCCTCTATGTCTGCCTTACTTCTTTTCAAATCCATAGCCTCTTGTTCTTTTATTTGTCTTAGTTTGAGACCTATTGCTGTGACAAAACACCATAAACAAAACAACTTGAGGAGGAAAGGGTTTATTTCAGATCATATTTCTATTATCACTGTATATCATTGAAGGAAGTCAGGACAGTAACTCAAACAGAGCTGATGCAGACTATAGAGGAATGCTGATTATTGGCTCACTCACCATGGCTTGCTCAGCATGCTTTCTTATAGAACCCAGAGCCACCAGACCAGAGATGGAACCGCTCACAATGGGTTAGGAACCCCCCCATCAATCACTAATTAAGAAAATGCCCTATAGGCTTGCCTATATCCAATTTTATGGAGGTATTTTCTGAATTTATTTTCCCTTCTCTCTTGTGCCAAAGTGACATGAAACCATCAATCACATTATTGTTACAAACACAACACACACACGTGTGTGTGCTGTGTGTGTGTGTGTGTGTGTGTGTTGCATGGGTATTTGTACATATATATACATATACACACACACACACACACACACACACACACACACACATATATTGTAGAGTTGGTTAAGTGTTATTTGTGCATATGGTTTCAGGGCTGATCATTTGGTGTTGTATAATGAACTATGGGGCTCATGCCTCTGGAAGATTAATTGTCTGTCTCTCAGCAGTTATTAGTTCCATGTAATTTTTTAACTATGGGTGGGGCCTATAAGAATTCCCCCTCCTACATTTGTATTGATGTTTTTATTTTTCAGATCTTGTTTTGGCAACCATATTGTTAAGGTTTATGGATATAGCTGCCCTGATGTTTCTAGGAGATACTATCTCAAGGCTGAGTTCCTGGTCCTCTGACTCTTACAATCTTTCTATCCTCCTATTTTCTGATGTTCTCTAAGCCCTTGGTTCAGGAATTATGTTGTGGATATATCCACTGGTACTGGGAACCCTCTGTAAGTTCTCCTTTGAATGCTGGTCAGTTGTTTTCTGCAATAGTCTCTGTTGAAAAGAAAAACTTCTTTGATGAGGGCAGAAAACCATATTTTTCTCTAGTAATAAGGACAAATACTTAGAATATAGTTAGAATTATGCTGGTTTAGTAAAGAGGTGGTGGTTTAATGGGGGGTCCCCTTCTGTATATATGTTTCTCTTATTGGTTGATGAATAAAATACAGATTGGTCAGTGGCCAGGCAGGAAATATAGGCATGGCTAAGAGACAATGAGAATTCTGGGGAGAGGAAAGCAAAAAGGGGTCATGTAGCTGCCAAAGGAGTAACATTCAAGATTATGGGTAAGCCACAACTGCATAACAATACATAGTTTAATAGAAATGGGCTAATAATTAAGAAAGAGCTAGCCAGTAAGAGGCCTAAACCATTGACAAAACAGTTTCTAATTGATATACGTCTTTGTGTATTTATTTGGGACCAAACGGCTGTAGGTCCAGTGGAACAAAATCTCCATCTAAAGTAGTTAGTTCTTTTCTGAGATCTAGGACCTCACTATCCCCAGGTATTAACCAGATATACAATACCAGGTATGGTTCCCTTGCTGTTGAATATAGGCCTTAAGGTCAATTAAAATCTGTTGCTTACCACCAAAATATGAATATCACTATTGCATATCTTGCTGTGCTGGTGGTTGTTGTGATTCATAGATATTGCAGCTTGTTAGGACTATGATGCATCTGTCTATATGTCTGTGTGTGTGTGTGTGTGTGTGTGTGTGTGTGTGTGTGTGTTTGTGTGTGTGTACACATGAGTGTGGGTGCCTGGAAAGGCCAGAAGAAGGTGTTACATCTGGGGTGTGACAGGCTACTGTGAGAAGGCTGATGTGAGTTCTCAGATCATAACCATGATGCTCTGGAGAAACACTGTGTTTTTAACTACTGTCCCATCTCTCTAGTCCCAAATATTTTGAAATCAATTTACCTATATGTATACTAAAAATGAGTAAATTCTATAATTAATATAACAAAATATTAGGAGATTAAATAAACATTGTATTTGAAGTTATTTGGGGTTTATTCTCTTTGTGATACAATTAAACTGTCTAATCACATAATTATGTTTTGCAATATATAATTTAAATTTGCTAGTACTCACAGCTTTACCAGTCTTGAAATTCTTCTTTTACTTACTTGCTGTCATAGCTTACTAACCCTATTTTTAAGGAGGTGTGGGGCTGTATGCTTGCAATATCAACATTCATAAAGCTACAAAGGTGAGAACAGGAATTCAAAATAATCCTTGGATACATAAAAGATTTCAGGCAAGGATGGGCTACATTAAACTCTGTTTCAATGAAGCTACAAGAAGAAGAAAGTATTTTAGATGAAGGTATATCAGATAGTTATACAGAATTCTAGGAACTATATAGGAAAAGCAAAATTGTATAGTAGAAGAAAAAATGCATTCACCATTACTCAAGTGCAAAAACACAAAAGAACTAGAGGAAGCCAAGGACTACCGGGAGCAGGAGAAATAGTCTTCCCTAGGGATGAGCACTTCAATTGTTACTCACTTTCAAATAACGGAGATTGAATTATTCCTGACAATATATATATACTAGTAGCATTATACAGACTGAGCAGATTGTACTTATATTTTTAGAAACACACACACGTATGTAACAATTAAGGACAAAAAAGAGGCAATGAATTTGAAACATAACAAAGAGAGGTACATGGGAGGGGTTTGAAGGAAAAGTAAAGGATATAATTATATTAAAATCTCAAAATATTTAAATTAAATTAAAATTATTAAAAATGATACTGAATATACCTTAAGAAGGTTTTCTCTTGTGAGTTACTGTAGTCTGGATCTACGAAGTCATTCAAAAGTCCTTTTGTTGAAGGCTGTCTCTCAGTTTGGAGCTGCTAAAATGGTAGAATCCTTAAGACACAGGAGCAAATAGGAGGTCATAGATTATGGAAGATATGTCCTCAAAGGGAACTATAGGATTTCGGTTTATCTTTGCTTTATGAATAACATGAAGTAAGCAATGTCTCCACATAATACGCTGCTTTCCAACATGCTAAAAAGTAACAGAGCCTCCAGGGAATGTACTCAACCTTCTAAAACTGCAGGCTTAAATAAGCCTTACCTCAGGTGTTTCTTACAATAATAGAAATCTGACTAGAATGGAGACAAATAACTGTCTATTTACACAAAGGGCATTTTCATTTCCTGAGTTTATTAACTTAAGCATGTTTCACGAATGTACCTGTTACAATACTATAAAATACCCTGAATATGACTATGATTCCCACATTTGCTTCTAGACTAGGAAGTTAAATGGAAACACATCGTCCTTGACATCTGTGATCTAGTGAAATCTAGTGTTACCAAATGAGCAAGAACAGTTTAGGAGATAATGTCGATGGTACCACAGGATTAGTGTATAGAAATGTATTCTCAACGAGCACTTCAAGGAGCAGTTTTCAACTGACCGTGTAGAAAATGATTGTCAGCTCAGAAGTGCCTTCGAATCAGGGCATAGACAATCTGTTAATGCTGAAAGTGCAGCCATGTTTAGTCCTCTTCTGTCTTCCCCACAGTTCTCTCAAGCAAAGGATTCGCATGAACAAACTCATAAGGATATTAGAAAAACTTGGTCTGTAGGCCAGTGTAGTATGTGCAAGTCCCTGGGTCAAATCAACAGCAACACATCAGAAATGTGTTCAGAGTGGGTGCGGTTCACAGCACACACTGCCATCTCAGTACTCAGGAGGCAGAGGCAGGTGGATTGCTGCAAGTCCCAAGTCAGCAAAGACTGTAGTACGAGAGTTTTCTTACCCCAAGGGTCAGGAAAGTATTTGATTTATTCAGTGCCTCAGCAGCTCCCATTCTGGCTTCTTGAATTTGTGAGAGATTAGAACTCACTTGGAACTTTTTCACTTCTTACAAATCTCATTATCTGGATATTATTTCACCATTTTCTTTCTTTTTGTCAGAAGTTTAACTATTCTGACTTGTAATTTTTCTGTCTTGACAAGTGTTTAAGTCCACCTTATGTGTTCTTGGCTCACCTTTTTAATTTTGTGGGTTGTTTTCTCTTGCCAAATTTAGGTATTTTTTTGTTTTTATTCCATTACATTTTGCTAAATGACTACTTGACCTTCTGTTTTGCTTCCCTCCTTCTGGAACCCTGAAATAAATTATGAACAATACCTTTTTGTTTACTCCCACAATTCTAGGCTTATTTTGCTCACTCTTCTGCCGTTTCCTCTACAGCTCAGACTAAGATATTTCAAGAGCCTTTCTGCTGCTGAGCCCATCATCTGAGCTCTTCAGATTGCTGTTTGCATTTTGGCAGCTCTAAAATTTCCTTGGGAGTTTTCTGAAACATGCTATTTCTTTGCTAAAGCTTTCTATTTGCTCATTTGTTTCAAGTGTTTTTGTAATATCTCACAGAATCAATCTTATAATGGCTACTTTAAAATCTTCATGGCTTATTCTGATGTCTATTCGACCCAGCATTGGTATCTATTCACTATATTGTTGTTCTCATGTTGACAGCTGGGTATTTTCATTGATGCTATGAGACTTTAGATAATGTTTAGACTTCAAGTCTAGTTAATTTCTCGGTCCCCATACAAGTAAGGGGGATGGAATGTGGACACTGACCTGTGATTCTAACTGGAAGCTTAGCCACTCGGCTTTTTCAGAAACTCTCTGTCAGTGCAGTGTAGAAGGTCTAATTGCCTAGCTGACCTCCACTATGAGGCAGGTGACAACAGTGAACATTGTGAGAATCCATGGGCCTCCTCTTAAATCACCCTGGCTGGGCTTACCTCATTTCGTGGGGACAAGGAAACCTATGACTTTTGGCTTTCTATGACATCACTCTGCTAGGAGACGTTTGGATTCCTCATCATTTCAGAAATATGTAAGTACAGATGCCCTTTTGATGGGATGGATAGGGAAAGAATCAAATTTGTTGTTCTCACTTGATTTGGGGCCAAGTGTGAATGCAATGGCTGCTTTCTAAAAGGCTTTTTTTTATATAAATGGCTCCTGATTGTCTAGCTATGGAGAACAAGATTGTATCAGAACTTTAATCTTCCGTCTCACCTTTGGGAGTCACAGACTGTTGACTTTTCCAGCTCCAAGTCTAGACCATCCAAGGAGAAAAGAAAAACAGGAAAAGGTCCATGAGATAACCACTCTTGTTCTTTAGGTCTCAGTATCACAGATGGCCTTCTTGTAAAACATTAGTTGACCATGAACTTAGTGGCACAGTAGAATATAACTATTCCATTTCCACAGCATCACAAACAAGCCTTCTGAAATAATTTCTATAATAATAGTTTAAAAACTTTGTAAAATCAGTGTGTCTTTCAAGTTGTAAGTGAAAATAATTCATCTTAAAGCAGCATTTTTAAAACATCAAATACTATCGCAAATCTAAATGTGCAGTGAAAATACATGATGATGAACAGAACAACGTAGAGTTGAATGTAGTCTGTGTTGCTCTGTCCATTACCATGCAGGAAACCAATGAAAAGAGGACATTCATGCACTAGTCCATCTGTATCACCCCACACAAAATGGTAGACAAACTGGAAGAACAAACATGAAGAGGAAAAAGGTCAGACAGGATACGAATGTAGCTATTTCATCTACAAGAGAGCAATTGAAAGGTTATAGTAGAAACAAAAACAATAGAGTAAAATCAAAATAATACTCTACAAATTATATGTATATATTAAAACCAATTTCTTTTTTATATATTGTCTGATAGTGAGATTAGTGAAATGCTTCAATTTACAAATACTAAACAGGTTATTAAAAAAAAACTGGGTTACGATTGAAATTTAAAATTGAACCTGAGAATTAACCATTAAACTAAAATACGAATGAACAATGTAACCTATTTGCTTTTTTTTACTTAAAAATGGTATTTTTATTTTGCAGTTAAAATGAAAATATGTTTGTTTTATTTCTAAGGTGCCATACAAAATAATACGCTTCTTTATGGCACATGTTTTCATACCTTAATAATATGGATACTAAATTCTTTTAAGAATGCAGTAGCTGATGGAAGCAGAAGCAGACACCCACAGCTAAGCACTGAGCTGAACTCCTGAAATCCAGCTGTAGGGAGGGAGGAGTGATGAACAAAGGGGTCAAGACCATGCTGGGGAAACCCAGAGAAACAGCTGACCTGAGCAATTGGGAGTTCATGGGCCTCAGTCTGACAGCTGGGGAACCAGCATAGGACCCAACCAGGACCCCTGAATGGATGTCAATTTGAAGGCCTGGGCAGTCTATAAGGCCTCTGGCAGTGGAACCAGTATTTATCCCTAGTGTATGAATGGACATTGGGAGCCCATTCCCTATGGAGGGATACTCTCTCAGCCTGAATACATGGGTGAGGGTATAGGTCCTGCCCCAAATGATGTGATAGACTTTGATGATTCCTCATGGGAGGCCACACCCTCTAGGAGGAGTGGATGGGGTGTGGGATAGGGAGATGGTGGGGTGCCTGGAAGGATGGGAGAGGGAACTGGGATTGATATGTAAAAAAGATTTTTTCTAATTTAATAAAAATTTATAATAATAAAAAAGAGAATTTCATATACAAACAAGTACTTTATTTGTATTATTATCTCTCTTCCTCCCAACTCCTCCACTGTCTTTCATCTTGCTCCATACTCCCTTTCAAGTTTATGGCCTCATTTTTCTTATTTTTGTGACATATGGAGAGTGATTGTTGCACAATTTTTGAATTTGGAAGTCTAAAATAATTTTACAGCATAATGTAAGAAGGATATATTCCTTCAGCATAGTTAATGGGAAAATTTGTGTACTTGCACTTTTTTGTTTCTGCATGCTGCCTACATTATTTAATCACATCACTTCTGCCTCCTGTGGCCTCTTTTGATGCCTTCCTTCCTTGCTTCCTTCCTTCCTTCCTTCCTTCCTTCCTTCCTACTTATAGGGACCCTGAGACTGTGTTGGGTCTACCTAGAAGGATTTTTCCATCTTAAGATACTTAAGGTAATCACATTTACAAAGTATTTATTTTAATCTTATAAAGAGATATCCAGTTTCTAGGGATTATAGTTTAGACTTTTATAGTTATTGCTCTGCTCACCATAGGGACCAAATCAATATGACAAATATGGACAGATATAGTAGCAGCAACAACAAATAGAAGAATATGCCAGGCTTGCTTCACCTCAATAGCCATTTAAATCAAGGTCACCGGTCCATAACATCCAAACATTCCTTATTTGTCAGGGCCCACATAATATTCTGGAAATATCTTCCACCAGGCCGTGAATTCTAAGAGGTCAGGACTTCTGTTGTCTTTTAGATGTTGATTGATTGCCAACAGATGCTTGGCCTCGGGGAAATGACAACAAAAGCCTTGGGCCAGGGTGAGTCTGTGCCTACCCAGAGGGCTAGTGAGACATGCTGGTGTGGGGTACCTGAGGGCTTGTGTGTATGCTACAAAGGAATGTCACTAGAATTAAGATAAATATCTGTGATAAGCCATATATACATGATAATAGATGTCTTCTACCATTGCCCCCACCTTTGTGTGGTTACCTAAGCTGATGGAACAAGAAACCATGACCTTCAGTATTGACTGGGAGCCCTCCTGTTGCAACCAGATGTCTCTGTCTCATCCCTGACACCATTGGATAGCTAAGCCTTCCCTTATCCACACTCCTCCACTCAGGGTTGTTTGGCTGGTTCTGATTACAGCCCCAAAGACATCAGTCCAGAGTAGATAGTCCCTACAGCTAGGAGCTAATACAGACTGGACCATGACACTTATGTATCTTCATTGTTACTTCCTTGACACTCTAAAGTCCTTATACCCAGCCTATCTCATCAGTGTCATCTGCACATACTGCCTTGTCTTCTCTTTAACTCTAGCCTGGGGTACTTGTTTGCTGTTTCTCTGGCCTTCCAGCTGGCTGCCTCTTTTAATCCCATCATCATTTTCCTCAAGACTAAACTAATTACTCTCTTCCTTGTTTATAATTCTGGAACCCAAATTTAATGAGTACCTGTCTCTAATAGTATTCTGACATACTTTTGTTCACTTAATAAAATAGCAGCACTGATAGTCTATCATCATTGCTTATTTAACACCCAAATTGTGACTATGTTTATCTTTATCCATAATGTTTTGACAGCCATCTTTATATTCAAAATTTCATTTAACATTATTTGATTTGCCATTGCATGTTAGTACTGGACACCCTATGGAGGAAATAGGTGTTTTCCTCAGATGACAACTGTAATCTATTTGTAATGGTTGGTGAAAAATGTGGAACTAACTTCAGTAATTTCATACAAGAAAACCAATTTCTAATTGTAAGCCACATGACTGTGTTCAGTGACTGCAAATACACATTCCAAAACTGGCCAAAATGTTGTATTGGTTAAAAATAAACTTTCTCCTTTTGGTTTGCAAATTTCAAGTAATATGACACAGCTATGCACTTTTTTTTTTATTTTAAACAGTTTCTGAATTGTTTAAAAAATCTGAAGTATACCTTGCTAGCTTAGAATACCAAAAAATTTAAATATAATTAAAAATTTTAAGTGTGTTTTATTAGGTTCTTTCATTTACTTAGTATTCTATGTGAATTGTCTAAAGTATGATTCTCATCCTTCCTAATTCTGTGACAATTTAACGCAGTTTTTCGTGTTGTGGTAAACTCCCTCCAACAATAAAATTATTTTGTTGCTTTTTCATAACTGTAATTTTGCTACTGTTATGAATTGTAATGGAAACATCTGATATGCAGGACATGTGATGTGCACCTCCCCCCACCACTGAAGGAGTTTCCATCCACTGATTGAGAAGCACTAATCTAAAACAATTTGGCAACCACTTTATCCAGAAATAGTATTATTTTTTTTTTTGGTTTTTACAGGACAGGGTTTCTCTGTATTGTTTTGGAGGCTGTCAGTCCAGCTTGGCCTCGAACTCACAGAGATCCGCCTGCCTCTGCCTCCCGAGTGCTGGGATTAAAGACGTGTGCCACCACCGCCCAGCCAGAAATAGTATTCTTAAACTTCATATTCTCTAAGATGAATTTTGTAGGGTTGATAAATATTAACCATTTCCTGTATTATTTCTATTTTTATAAATTTTGCACTTTTCAAATGGCAAATCAAACTTTACAAATATTGGGAATTATTACACAAGAATTTTATTTTGCATTTCCTTTAGACTTACGTTCCTTTTATATGAAACAAATGTAATCACTCTGAGATTATTCTCATGTAGTAAGTTTTGAATCTCTAGTAAAAGTAAAGATAACCTGAATGCAAATTTCAGGTGTAAACTAATGATAAGTCGTGCTCAGTAAAGTGGTTGGGTGTTTTGTCGGCAAACATCTCTCCCTTGACCATGTCAACCATTGTAAATACAAAACACTAAGTAATACCCAAGGGCCAAGCATAAATATTCCCATTACTCAATATACTGCCTGCCTGCATTTAACTTAGGCTAACTATTTGAATCATAGACCTTACAATAGAACGTTCTGAAATTCAATATAACGCATATACAAAAAATGAATTATAAAATGTCAATCAAAATATATCCTGCCACACACACAGCATGTGGGCATAGAATATAAATGGACATGAAATCAATGAAAAGAGCAATAACCAGAACTGTATCTTTAGACCTTAATTCATTTGTACCTCATATAAACTGTTAAAATTCAATATTCCAAGCAGTTATAATGGATAAAGAACAGCTAGAAAAATAATGAGAAAACAGTTTTATATATTTCTGGGAAAACAAACAAACTTAAAAATGGATATGTCATATCAAAACTCCTCTAAAGTTATCCTTAAAATATAACTTGTATAAGTCAGAGTTGTCTGTAGGTCAATACAGATTTTTCTTAATCCAGTCTTGTTGGTATCTTATTTTTATTATATTGTTATCTATTGCACACACACACACACACACACACACTTATAACTGTGTTATTTGAACAACACTTTTAAAGTAAAGCGGTATATAGGATGATGTGGTTTTGAATATAAAATGTCCTCTTGTGCTCATGTTTGAATGCTACGTCCTCAGCTTTTATCACCATTGGGAAGACTGTGGAGCCTTGAGGGAATGAGATGGCTTGCAGACGTGTATCACAAGAGGAGAGCCATTGAAGTTTACACCCACTAACTTTGCTATGGTTCTCTCTACTTCCTGCGTAGTGACCAGTCCCCCATTTTAGCAGCCATTACAGGCTAACATGTGCTTGCATGACCTTGCCGCTCCTGTCCTGGTCACTAAGGTCAGATGCCCTCCTCATGGCAAGGAACTAATCAGAAGTTAGCTGGCAGGGCTGTGCTTTATGGCTCTGGGTGTGCTTTACAGACAGTGCACAACAGTGACGTACAGAACATAGCAACAGCTCTAGGAGGGCTTATGGGCCATTACAACCAGTTGACCAATCAACACAGGGCAGGTCACCCAAACCTGGAAGCGCACCAATCCTGAGACTGTTTCATACCCCCTAGACACTCCCCTTATGCTGCCCTTTAAGATCCCTGCCTCAAGGTTGCTCGGGGTCTTTCTCCAGCCAATTGTCATGGTGGTGGGGTGAAGGGCCCCAGCTAATGGGGTTAGCTCGTTAAACATCTACAATAAAAGACTCTTTGCTTTTGCATCAAAATGGGCCTCATGGTAATTTTGGGGTTCAGAATTTGGGCACAACACCTGGTTCTAGCCATTAACCAACTCTCTCACTGCCCAAACACTTCCTCTGGTTTCTCTGACATGATTGGAATTTTCTGAAACTGTGAGCTCACCTACATAAGTGGTTTCTGCTATGTATTTTGTCAGACCAAGGAAAAAACTAACATACAGAGTGTGCTTTCTGTTTAACAAAACCAAAGCAACTGTTGTCACACAAAAATTTTATCATACTCAATTAATTTCAGTTAGTGATATGGTCTGATATAACTGGGGGGAAAAGATAAAAAATGACTGAAACTTGACTTGGCATGCAAATAGCTCTTGAGAAGATCCACATTACCAAGACCAAAGAACTGACAATTGTATGAACAATGCCTATCTTAGTTACCTTTCTTATTAATACATGCAACTTAAGGGAGAAGAGGTTTCCTTGGACACACAATTTGGGATTTCCAGCCATGTGTTGAGGAAGTCACGGCAGCAGGATCTTAGAGCAGCTGGATACACTGGCCATGAAACAGAAAGCAATGGCATGTTAGGAGCAGGACAGATGGTTCACAGGGTTAGAACACTTGCAGTTGCAGAGGACCTATGTCCAACCCTAGCAACCCCATGGTGGCTCACAGTCATCCATCACTCTGGTTCCAACGGATCTGATGTTCAGTGTCCTTCTCTTTTTGTTCATTCTGGCTCTCCAACCCATAGAGTGTTACCCTCTTCTTTTAAGATAATTCCTTCAATCTCAATTAACCTAATCTAGAACATCTCCCACAAAAATGCCTAGAGGCATGTCTCTTCATAAATTCTCCTAGTATCATGTCAAGTTGGCTAACAATATTTACCACTAAAATAATCAAACAGAAAAAAGCATTGATGAAAATCAAATTTCCATTTGATTTTATTGCTTACATGTCTCCCATTATAAATACTACTAAAGTGATGCTGTATCGTTTTCCTGTTTCTCTCATGGCAGCAGGAACAGCTATATATTTTGTGGGGTTGAGAACAAAGTATAATTATGGACCACTTTAAAAATAATCATCAAAAATTTCAAGATGATCAATGAGTATTAACACAAGCATAGGGTCCTTCTAAGCATGCATCCCAATGTAACTGCATCATTCACATACCTATGAAACCAACCTTTGAAAGGAGAGTACTAAAATGTTTTCTTAGTGGCATTGTTAAAGGCCATTAAAACATTTAATGTTACCCAAACTTGGGAGACTTTTGGGCTTTTCCCAGAGTCACTCTAGCCTGAAACTCTCAGCTCATGGTCACAAGCTAGTTCTCCAATTCAGACTTGCTAAGCCTCACAGATCACTGACATTGGGGGAAGATTTGGTAAGTTAATTGGAAATTCCTAAAGGAAGGGATTGTTAAAAAGAGTTTTTCCCCCATGCTAAAAAATGGAAAACACTATTGAATGCATATGATTGCATAATGAATCATTTTTAAAATGGAACATGAAGGGATGATCACCTTAACCAGGATTGATATACTATTAATTATCATTTTGATAATCTTCATTCTTGTTTTGATTATTCTTGGTTTGTGTATAAAAAAAGTTGTTTGATATGAGTGCTAAGATGCAGGCCTTAGAAAACCTTATTAAAGCAGATTATAGAATTATTCAAAACCAGACTGAGTAATTAAATGGGGAAACAAATTCAGCATTTCATTTTAAGGTTAATAAGGAACACTCTAAGGCCATAAGAGAACCACCTTTGGAAGTGCCAAATGAAGGAGATTTTATAGGAGCTACTTGGAAATCTGTGACAAGGTTAGTTTTAGAGACATTCAAGAAATCTGTAGTCTCATGTAGCATCCATTTACCATTCATAAATCAGATGATAAACACTTGGTCAGTTTGTGATAGGGTTATGCCTATAATTGGATAGATTTGATTAAAGCTGTCCTAGAACCTGGACCACAATTACAGTGAACTTCCTGGTTCAGAGAAGAGGCTAAGAATATTGAACAAAAGGCTATAGCTAGAGGTATGGATATCTCCCAAGATCAAATTCTCGAAGGAGATTATGCTACTTCAGAAAGTCAATGTCAATATGATGATCGCCTCTTGGGTTTAAGCTGTGCAGCAGCTTTGAATGCTTGGGACAGAATTGGAGAAGCAGGAAATAAAATTGAATCATTGACAAAAGTTATACAGAGCCAATAAGAAGCATTCATGGACTTCTTACAAAGACTATTATTAGCAGTCAGTCAAAAGATATTAGACTCAGAAGCTAGAAAAATAATAATTGAAGGTATGGCTTTTGAAAATGCTAATGCCCCATGCAAAAGGATAATTAGGCCTTTAAAAACAAGATCAGCTCCCCTGGAGGATTGAAGCCAATACAATTAATATTGAAGCTCATGGACCTATGACAATTCCTGGATAGGAGAGGTGATTTCAAGAGGTTTAAAGAAAAATCAAAATGTCAAATGTTTTAATTGTGGCAGACAAGGTCATCTGGAAAGAGACTGTAAATGGGGCATTTCCAGAAACAATTTTTGTAATAAATGTAATCCAAACAGAATGCCCCTCCCTTCTGGATTATGCAGAAGGTGTGGCAAAGGCAGGCACTGAACAAAAATATAGGTTGAAAAGAGATTATCAAGGTAATCCTTTGCCTTCAGGACATGCCTCTGTGACAAAACTAGTTCATTCTTTTCCTGCCACCATGGATGAAACTCTGACAATTAAATAACCTTATGCCTACTGAAAGAAAACATATTGTTCTGGATTATAAAAGAACTTTAGAAGCTAAAACAAAAAGTTCAGGAGAAGCCATAGATCAATTTTAACAAGGATTAAATTAGAACCTCCCCAAAGTTAGGGTTGGGGAATGGTTTTGTTTGTTTTTAAGAAAAATAAAAACAATCTTAAAGAATTTAAAGACCTTTGGACAAACAAGCATCCAAAGGAAAGAGAACTATGTGGAAAAATTACCAAGAAAAGAAATAATCCGACTTAATGTTATCTATGAAGTCTCCAAAAACAAAACAAAAAAAAGACTGAATCCAAGCTGGGTGGAGGTCGTATACATGCTTTTAATCCTATCACTTGAGTGAAAGAAAGAAACATTTTGAGGCAAGCCTGATCTACAAAGGGAGTTTCAGGACAGCCAGGACTGTTAAACTTGTAAATCAGATAGAGAAACACTGTGCCAAAAAAAAAAGAAAAGAAAAGAAAGAAAGAAAAAAATGGAACCCCACCACAATTTCATCAGGACTATGAGAACACCATTTAGCTGAACAATAACAACTGAAGATCTACTTAGGACTACAAACTGCTAAGAACAATTTCAATGAGGCGAACTGAGATGATCCAGCTTCACAGACACTGCTCAGAACAATTTCAAGGTGGCTAGCTGAGATGATTCAGCCTCACAAACTACTCTAGCCAGGACTTGAGACAAGCCCTCCACTTTTCCATTATGAAAAAAAAAAGGACAAAAATGATACAGCTTTACAGTTAACCCAAAATTTTTCTTGTTAGGTCCTCTAAAGTTGCCATTTCCCCCAGACAACAGGAAGTAACTTTAAGAAAACGATGCCCACATTGGCAATAGGTGGGGTGGCTGGTTTTTGCCCTTCATTGGGTTATGGATAACTGTCATTGTTTAGGGAGACTGGTTACAAAATGTTGTTGGTTATGGTCAGAAAGAAAGGTAAACAAAGGGGATTAGATTCATGATTTTGTTTTGGAAAAGAAAAGGATACAGATATGATTGGATAAAAGGGTAGATTATTTAATCTACCCTTAAATAGGAATCCAGCCATAGAGAAGAAGGGGAATGAATAAAAGAAACAAGACTGTGCTGGAAAAAAAAAAAAAACAGAAACAGATGACCTGACCTAGTAGGAGCTCACGGACCCCAGTCTTAAAGCTGTGGAACCAGCATTGCACCAAACAAAGCCCTCTGAATGTGGGTGCCAGCTAGGAGGTCTGAACAGTCTATGGGACCTCTAACAGGAGCCAGTGTATATCCCTACTGTACAAATAGATTTTGGGAACCCATTCCCTATGGAGGGATACTATTGCATTCCAAATATATGAAAGAAGGACTAGGCCCTCTGCCAAATGATTGAAAGACTTTGATGATCCTCCATGGAAGGCCTCACTATCCTTGGGGAATGGTGGGCAGTGGGTTGGGGGGGAATGATGGGGGGCATGGGAGGATGGGAGTTTGAGGGAATGGGTGATTGATATGTAAGATTATTTCTAAAATCAAAATTTATATCTTTTACATTTGATTGACATTTGTGTATTGTATACAAATGTATGTTGACACAAATTTGAGATTAATTTGTTAAGGCATGTTATACATATGTTTCTAATCTTGTTCAATGTATTGTACCTATATAGATCATTCAACGATGTAATGCAAATTTCTAGTTCTTGAAATTTATTATTACCAGCTATATAAGATAGTAAGGAAATGTAGATGAGTAATTAGTTCCCTATTACAATCAAACTTGTAATCATATTAGGTATGTTTTGAAAATCAAACAGACCAATTCTAGATAGACAGGTGATCTTCAAACACTTCAGAGATCTACAGACTATGGCATTTAAAATGTTTTAGTATTTTTATGACAATGAGACATGTCTGCTCAAGGCAGCACCAATCTACTTCACAGAAGCTGATGGGCAGTGAAGAAGATCCACATGGATTTTACATTCCCTGTCTCAAAAGTAAGCCACTGGGCAAGAAAGTGCCATTGCCTTGACTGCTGATAGTATGCTGTCCTAATTGGACAAGGAGGACACAAAAGAGTGTGACTGTAAACCTTGCCAATACAAGGCAGGACAGTCCTTCAGAAAATCCTGCTTCACAGAAAAGTCTGTCAGACATGCTAGGCCTAAATGCCAAAGATGAATGCCCCAACATTGCAGAGAAACCTTGGGTGGCTGTCCACGCAGCCACCTTTTTTATCATTTCTCTCATTTTTTGGAAGTCACTTAATGACAAATTCTGTTTACTCCTTTAATAATATTTTCTTCTTGGGTCTGTGAGGGAGTTTAAGACTAGTTATAATTTTTAAATTTTCATTGTTTACCAGACTCAGAAAAGAAATTCACTATGTAAGATATGTAAACTGTAAAAGGTTTAGAGGCATTAAATGATAATTTGATAATGCAAATTAGAATTTGAAATGAATTGGGTACAAGACTTTGAACTCACCAAGATAGAATGGATAATGAAGTATTTTGTCTGGACTTGTCAAATGAACATTGACTAGATATTTTCTCTGAATTTGTGAAATGAAAATAGACGGGGCATTGTTGACTAACTTATTGCCTGTATATATTATATATACTCATTGTATATAGTTTTTCTTAAGTTATTTTTAGCCTTCTTTTTGCATTAGACAAAAAGGACAATTGTGGTGATATATTATTTATGATTTATTGAAGCTTGCCTCAGGATTCAGGAAGCAAACTCAGCCACAAACCATAGACTCCAGGCGCACACCACCCTTAATCCCAGGAGCCAGAAGTAAGGAGGTGGTGGTACACCCCTTAATTCTAGGATTCAGAATTAAGAGGTAGAGAGGTCTCTGTGAGTCAAAGGTCACCAAGATCTACACAATATTGATCCATTCATAAATAGAAACAGCTCACACAAAGATGATCTTAGCACTTGGGATCACATGTCTTTAATCCCAGCATTAGGGAGGTGTGTAAGACAGGAGCAATGTCTTAGTTTCAAGCATTCATTCTCCAGCCACATTGAGTACAAGAGGGATTTATTCTCTAGTCACATTGAGGATAGCAAGACATTTAGTCTCAGGATTCTACAGCCATGCTGAGGAGAGGCAGCAGGATCAGCCCATTCAGTCTGAGGTAGAGGTAAGGGCTAGTGGCCTGCTACTTTGTTTTTCTAATTTTCAGCTTGAAGTTTGAGCCCCAGTATCAGTCTCTGTGTCTTTTTATTTTTTTATAATAAATACATTTTATTCATTAAATATAAAATAATTAATATTAAAAATAAATTGGGGACTTTGAGAGGATATCAGAAATGTTTTAATGGCATTATAAATAATATAAGTGATTTAATATTAGTAATTAATATAGAAAATTATTTAATAAGAATTAAATACTAATGTTAAAATATAGCATAGGCTTGGAAAATATATCAAAGAAATGTTTTGTTTATGGCACTTTATATTTCATTATACAATTATAAAATGCATTAAAATGGTGATATAATTCCATTAATAAAACATTTTACTGATATCAGTTCAATATCGAAGCTACTGCCAATGTTACCGGTTACTTGGTGATGAGACCCTAGGATTGGAAACACCACGTATTTTAATCACAGACCATGAAGAAATCAACCTGATGTTGACCTCAGAACTTCATCTCTGCTACTAACTTTCTTAAAGCTGGGAGGTGCTTTGCAAGCTCATGAAGAAAGAAAGTAGCCATCTGTCTTAACCAGCTGCGAAGCCTTTGAGCTACAACATCGACCAGGACTGGCAAAACACACCCGCCAGTACAACAGAACATCATGGGAGTAAACAACCACTTTCTGAGTGCGTGAAAGTTCTGCTCCACAAGATGAACCCCTTATCTGGCACAGTAACTGTACCAGGAACCTGTGGTTATAAAGGTCAAAAGGCCTAAGGGTGAGGCTGCTATTATTATTCTGCAAAATGGACATAGTATTAAACCAACTCCTAGTGGCTTATCTTTACGTTCATAGGCTTTCAACCTTCATAAAAGAAATTTCTATTTGCAGTAGATGGTGATTAACACAGAGAACCGCACCTGGTCCAGGAGCAGTGAATTAGAGACTGAAGAATGGTCACTCCTAAATGGTCGTATAAATCACACACTCTTCGGCTGAGGCTCAGAGATCCCTGCCAATAAAGAACAGAAAGATTGCAAGAGTTAGAGGTGGTCGGTGACTGCAAAATAATAGTATATCCTGAAAACATCAGAACAGCTGCACACATGAAATAACAGCAATATGACAACATACACAAACATATGCAAGCTCAGGTCAAACCAAATCCAATCGGGGAAAGAGCAGGTGAAAACCAAACCCCACCTCGAGCTAAATAGCTATCAGATATCCGAGTGCTAGAATTAAAGGCACACACCTCTATATAAAAATTGTTATGTAGAATCAAGCCAATAACTTAGTCCTAGAATAAAGGTTATCTAATTACCGGAGTAATAATGATCAATAATGATGAGTAGATAGAATTTCAGAATTTCGAAGCATCTTAAATTTGGATCTCCCAGGGCAAAGCTGAAATAAGGACTTAGGGGCAGGCAGGGTACCTGAGAGGTGGCAACAAAATCTTCTCTAAGGGGAAGACAGAACAAGAGGTAAGAAAGGAGGCTAGCAGCTACAGGAACACAATTGAGTGGGGGGAGATTTCAGGCTGCATGTGAAATACCTCTTGGAATTTTCCACCACAAAGAAGAAACATTATTCTTCTTAGAATAATGCTGGATAACTGCATGCCACCAGTCAAGAATTTTGAGACTTTGAAGAGAAAAACAGCCAAAGTTTGAAACAGGATTCTGTAGAGGAATTTAGCAGTAAAACTGTTGATGCTGAAGTCACAGACTGAAGGAATCTGACATGCTCTTCCCCACTGTGTCCACAAGTGAGAAATAAATAGAGGGAGGACACACAGCAAGAATGTGTTTATGCGATTTTAGAATAGAACAAAGCTGATTTAAACTGCTTACAATTGTTAGTGAGTAAAACAATGGGGGCTCAGAGGTAAAAACTATAGTACTTATATGTATGCAATTTTAAACTACAATTAAAAATATATGGACAATTTAAAGGTACAGGGCACTACATATTAGGCAGGAAAATCAAAACCCCATTCTGACATATATTTGAAAATTCTCTGATTGTCATAATTATTTATTATATAACTGCTTTATTTGTCATGCATTCAAATAGTTAATGGACACATACCAATTATTATTTCTGGAGGGTTTTTTTTTTGGTTTTATGAAACAGGGTTTCTCTGTATTGTTTTGGAGGCTGTCGGTCCAGCCTGGCCTCGAACTCACAGAAATCCGCCTGCCTCTGCCTCCCGAGTGCTGGGATTAAAGGCGTGTGCCACCACCGCCTGGCTATTTCTGGAGGGTTTTAATGTCAGTGCATCTTAACCAATAAAACACAAAGTAATCATAAACTCTCAGATTTCTGCTCTATAATGGAACTCAATACCCTAGACAGTCATGTCATTTTGGTCAAGTCCACAGCAAGTTACATGGCATATCCCCCTTTCCACACTGGTGCCTTAAAATAAATGGTCACACACCTAGAGAGACATGACAAATGTACTTCAATAAACTGTTTGTTTAGTCCCTCCCCAGCGATTTCTAGACCTATTGTCCATATCTCCACAGCAGCACTTAATGGAGTCTACAGTAATGCATCTTGTTACTGATCCAATTCTCCAGAAACTGGAAGGTTTCTCAGCATCACTGACTCATCCATCTATGAAGAAAGTTCAGTTTCTACCTAATACAGTAGGGAGTCAATGCCAACCTTCCAAATGAGTATGCAAAGCATTCTTTGACTCATGTCAGGCAGACCAACGGTGACAAACTACAAGCTATGTGTACCACGGCAAAACCAAATGGTATATCTTGGATAAGTCAACATCTTCTCCTCATTCTTATCTTTTGTCATCTTTGCAGTGAAGGTTATTGAGAAGTTTATCTATGTGTGTCTTCAAGCTCCTGTAGTTAATGATCTACAAGTCACAGCTGTTGACTCATTAGAAATGTACCCACAGTTCTCTACTTAGCTTTCCCAAATACCTTCAATGTTTTGTAGCCAATAGTGTGTTTGTGGGTAAGTATGTAGACATGATCAAAGGAAAATTACAGTTTTAAACCAAGGACTTAACAAAGTTTGTAACTTTTTCCTCTTGAAATTTGAATAGCAAGTATTTTTGTTTATCTGTTGTCTCCTTTTGAGTTCTGTTTCCGTTTCTAGATTTGCTCTGCAAAGCTAAAGATGTATTGTCAACCTGTCAGTAACTAAGTATGACTTGTAAGAATCCGTGTATCATATATTTTTTTTACTAATCTAGCTTCCTGCCAAGAAACTGGTAAAAATCTAAATACTGCACTCACTCTAGCAACCAATTTTAAGGAAATGTCCTACTCATAGAACTGGGAAACAGGTGAGAGCCAAGGGACAAAGACACTATAAACACAGAAGCTCACAGTCGCATAGATCTCAAGAGTCAGAAAACCTTTAGAAATAAAATTTGTATTACTGTTTTACTCACAGGTATTAAAAAAATAGAAATCAAGGAAGGAAATGAAAATGGAAACCATGAGGAATATATTCCAAACAAAGCAATGAATTAAAAGCATATGTAATGAATGCAAATATTAAAGGAAGCAATAGAAACTTTTAAAACAAAGCAAGCACACTTTAAAATATTAGCCATTTGATGACGTAACTTTATCCCACTCTAAGGGATTTAAAATGTTAATAGCAAAAGAATACTAGAATGTTTTAATGCAGGTTGACTAAATTCCAGTCAGAATCATGCTCCTCCAAGGCACTCACAGGATGTGATGACAGCTACAAATATGGCGATATGTCAGTGTTGTACCCTAAGGAAAAAACGTGAACAGGTGCTCATCCTATCTCAAGAGGGAAAAGACAGCGGGCATAAGCAGGCAGTAGGTTCTAGCAAGAAAGGGTTAGAAAACATCTGTGAAACCACCGTGGAGAATATCCAGAGGAATTGTCACATGTCTGACTGTATGTTTGTGTATTAAAAATGGTGATTCAACAAGATAAAGCTATCTCTAGGGAACAAAGCTGATCAGAAAAAAAGGGGCTAATCCCAAAGAGCTTCATGCTGCCCTATTGTATTTATATAATGTTCTTGAAACGACAAAATTTTAGACATGAAAACCAGACTTTTGTTTTTTCAGGGAGAGAACTGAGTAGGAGAAGTTAGTGTGTGACTATAACGGAGCAACTGCAGAGAGGATGCTCATGCAGTAGAATTGATATTTTGACTATAACAGCGGATACATAAATTTTTACCAGCAATAAAATTGCACAGAAGACAATTCACATTCACATGGTTAGGCAGGTTATACATGCACACAGGTATGCACATATATAATCCACATAGAAGTACACACAAGATGTGAAATCAGAATGATCTCATTGGATTTTGTCAATTTTGGTTTCTTTATTCATTATTGCATGTTACGGGAATCCTGCCTGGGTCCGGTCACTGCTTCAGCCCCCAAATAACACACAAAGAATCTATTAGTTACAATGTTGTTGGCCAATATCTAATGCTTCTTATTGGCTAGCTCTGTCTTTAGTACTGAACCATAACTACAATGTCTTAACTTACCAAGAATGCCAGTCTCATGTGTCCTCTCCTCCAGGGATCACATGGCGGCCCTGATACATTTCGCAGAATCCTCCTTATCTCCTAGTCCTGCCTATCTTGCTTCCCTATTTGCCAACAGTGTTTTATTCATCAACCAATAAGAGAGACATATTTACAGAATGACATCTCCTATCAACTGTATAATGTAGTACCTACCCAGGGTGTCCCCAGTGAAAGACACTGAGAACAGAGCAAATGTGATTTCTCTTCTTATTGATTATGAATGCATATGTTTCTGCAATAACATCAAAAGAAAAAAATAATTCTAAAATTCAGTGAAAATTTACATCTATCAAGCAAAACTGTCAAAGACCCAGTATGCCCTGAGAAAGAAGAAAATTTAGATGAAAATGAATTTAAGAAAAGTAACCAGCCTCATTGACATCCAGGGAAAAGCATTTTCAAGTCGCAGTTCAATTCTATCACACAAATAGTACTTGATAAAACAGCATGTTGCTAAAGTTAGAATAATCTGAGACTTAATTTCAGGCTTTGTATACACTGTCAATTACATAGCATATGCGAGTATACCGGCTTCTTTACTGATACTGTCAGTTTTGCAGTCTGCTATTGCTCCACAGATGAAATGCAAAATGAAACAGAGCAAATATATTAACCACACTAACACTTGTCTGTAGGTTGTTATCTTTAGGTTTAAAAATCCCAAGTCTTGTACAAAGCCCAGAGTCTGACTCAAAGTTCAGATTAACCTAGGCATGGTGACACATCCCTGTAACCCTAGCATGCAGAAGGTAGGGGTGAGAAGATCAGCAGGGCCGTAGTGGTACTTGCATTAATTCCAGCACTTTGGAGACAAGGCAGTTGGATCTCTGTGAGTTCAAGCCCAGCCTGGTCTCTAGAGCTAGTTCCAGGACAGAGACCAAAGCAATACAGAGAAACCCTGTCTCAAAATAACAACAAACACAAACAAAATAACATGGCAAAGATTTTGTGTGTGTGTGTGTGTTTGTGTGTGTGTGTGTTCACGAAATAGCTGCAGACTCAATTTGGCAGGCAACAGCACAGTAACAAATACACAAAATAAAATCATTGACAGCTAAGAGCATCTAAACATTAAGAGTTTCTAAATACAATCTTTTTTCACCTCCATTTCCAGACTGAGGAACTATCAAACACAAAGGAAAATAATTAGCTACCTGTAAATATGACAATTGGTAAATCAATGTGTCTGGGGAATGAGTAGGTGGGCATCATTTTACCCTTTCTCTGGGTGACCTATCATGACAGACTCGATATTTATGTTTCTTCTCTTCTGGATAGTTATTCATGCTCTTAACCGTTCTTTTGGCATTTTGGCAAACACTTAATAACAGTTGTAGAGTGAGTATGTTTTATTTCATGAAATTCATGCTTCAGATTTGTCCTTATAGTAAATTTAAATGAAAGCAGATATTATAACAAAAGAAAAAAAATGAGAATGAAATACA